AAGAGGGCGAGCAGGTCGGGAGAAAGGAAAAAAAAGAAGAGAGAAGGAGAAGAGGGAGAGAGAGGAAGGAAAGGATAGAGGAGAGCACGGATGAGAGCACAGAAGGAGAGAGAAAGGAAAGAATTGGGAGAGAGAAGAAGGAGATAAGAAGTGGAAAGGAGGACGAGGAGAAGGAGAGGACTAGGAGGAGAAGAGAGGAGGAGAGAGAAGAAGAGAGGAATGGAGGGAAAGAAGAATGGAGTGAGGTGAGGAAGGAAAGGAGGGCGAAAGAAGAGAAGATGAGTAGGAGAGTAGAGAGGGACATAGAAGAGAGAAGAAAAAAGGAGGAAAGGACAAGAGGAGGACTAGAAGAAAGAAGGAGAAGAAATGTAGTATGGAGAGGCGTGGAAGGGAGAGAACCGGAGGAGAGAAGGGAAGTTATAGTAGAGGTAATGGAGGAGGTATTGGGGAGAAGGGTAAAAATGAGAGGGATAGTGGAAAGATTAAGGGAGGGGGGAAAAAAGGTATTAATAATGGAAATGGATAAAGAAGAGGACAAGGACGAGATATTGGAGACTGTGGAAGATAGGCGTGGACGAGGATTTAACGATGGAGGAGAGAAGAATGAGATGGAGGATGGTAGAAAAAGCGAAGATGGAAAGAGGGTACGGAAGAAGCGTGGTGGTGGGTAACAGAAGGATCTGGATAGATGGAAGAAAATGGATATGGGACGAGAGGAAGGAGTGATGGATGGTGAAGCGAGAGGAATAAGAGAAAGGAAACGGAAAGAGAAGGAGGGACGGAAAGGAGAGAAGAAGGAAGATAGGGGGGAGAGAAGGGAAGGTGGGGAGAGGGGAGTGGGAGGGAGAGGTTGGGACGAGGAAGGGGAGGGAGGAAAGTATGTAAGGTCGCATAGGGCCAGGTCGGGTAAAGGATGAAAGATAGAGGAGCTGTAAGAAAATGTAAAGGTTTGGGTACGTTCCGGAAAAACGCCTTCAAACCCTAAGGGGACGAATAAAGGATGCATACATACATATACTATATATTAATCGATTCTTTTAGATAATCGATTATACGCAATCGATTAATTTGCAAAAACATCGAAAAAAATCGATTATTATTTAATCGAAAAAATTTAAAGGTCTTCTAATAAACTTAAATTAAGATCTAACAGTGATCTAATGCTAGTTACTAGCTAAACAGCTCTCATGAACCCTACAATACAATTCACTTGGCTTTTTCTGTGAAGTATTGGCGCAGCGGTACAAACTATAGAAAGTGCAGTGTTCTATGGCGAAAGAAAAGCCTTCAAATTTCAATTGCCAGAGTGCTAGTTTTTCTGATTACAGAACGATTAATTTTTGTTAGTGTTTTTATTTACTTGTTTGTAAAAAAAATGTAAATTATATATTTAAATCAGGCTAATTAATGTACATCTGATTAGAATAAAGATTGCCAATTTATCGCATTCTCTGAAGTATCTTTGCCTTGTGCGTCATTGTTACGTGTCCGGAATGTCTGAAATGTAAAGCAAAAAACAATTTGAATTCCATACATATTAGGAAATCAACATAATAAATACTTAATAAAAATATTTATAATTACGTGAATAAAGAAAGCAGCCACACTAAATATATAACTATTGCATACAGATAATGCAAGGCAATAGTAAGGAGGAAGGATAAGAAGGATGCATATTAATTGCCGATTTTAAATATATAACATAAACTCTATATAGAATCTTTACTACAAGGAACGTTTTTTTACAATCAACATCCATCACATATAAAACCTTACATACACGAAATTATAACAGAAAAATAGAAACGACATAGTTATTTTTTTAGTCTAGTCCCCAACTCTTTTCACTAAGTGAACCCAAGAAGAGTAGACTATTCAGTCGCTTTCCACTAACAATAAGTCTGCTTTGTAAGTCTGACTTAATGATACCAGCTTTTGAAAACAGGTGCTCAGAAGATACCGAGACAATAGACAACCGCAACAATAGATAAATAACGCATTGCCACTGTAAAAAATGTCGGATAGGCGGGTTTAAGCGTCTGCCAATGCTTAAATGGATTTTGATCTCGCGGAATGGATGACTGGTTTAAATATTGCCGTAACTCAAGATTATTTAAGATATGCCACCAGGCTGATCGACAGATAGTGCGCATGAGTCGGGTAAACTGTCATGAAAAGCTCACACGTTGAACTCATTAGTTATCTTTTTGGTTCCAGATGGTCTACTGTATTTGATTCCACGTTATTATTAGCAGCAACAGTCTTTAATTGACGGTTAATGTACGATACGGCGACGGCAACAGTTCTTGGTGACTGAAAATGCATGCGTTTATATCGCGGTTCAGAATAGTTGATACTGCAAGTATTTGATACGACTCAATTTCTTTAAAACATCGCTGGACTTCAGACAAGATGTTGTCTTTGAATGCATTGCTTTCAACAGTGATAGCAACGCAGTTTTTTATGGTGTCTTCCATACAGTGAATTACAGGAATCACCAAACTACTAGTTGGATACGAGTCACCACTTATCTTGATAGTAACAAATTCGACCGGACCTAAAACTCGTACAGTGTCTTCTAAAATATCAATTTATTCGCGAGAAAATGCTCTGGAAGCCGTTGAGCACGTTAAGAGCACAGGATAGACGTAATCTTTTAGTTCTAGAAAACGTTTTATCATGTAATAAGTTGAATTTCAACGCGTTGGCACATCCTGCTTGAGTTTCAATGCCGTACTATCAGTTTTTTCATCACGTATCTGCAATCGTTTTAGTTCGTCAGATGCCACAACGCTCCGTTTTGTTATAGTCACGATAGACTTTACTCTGGCGATAATTTCATCGATACGAGGAGTTAGTTTCATAGCATCTGGAACCAAGTGGGACAAAGTATGCGCAATGCAAGACAGGTGCTTTGAGCTCCATAAAGTTAGCCGGACCACTTTAACTTTTTAATAATTAAAATTATCTAATCGTTTGGTGGTGATAGGTAGCCTAATTAAAACGTTTCGTGGTCAATCAGTTTTTTTTAAATTAAATAATTAAACTTTTGGTGTAAAGTTAGCCGGATATATTTTAATTTTTGGTCTAATCAATTAAACGAGGGCTTTTTCGATGCAGAATCATTAGGTGGTCACAAATGCTTTATTTACAATGTTTGGTGGTCCATAATTTATCCAATAAGTTAAAAAAACCATGTGCGGTTAGGTAGTGGGGATGACTAACTGGAAGCTGTAAAGTTAGCCGGACCAATATATTATTTACCAACCAATTTTGTTCAAATTGATCTTAATTGAAAGACAATCGTTTGGTAGTGATCGGTAATCTAATTACAACGTTTGGTAATTAATTATTAGGCTACCACAATTACAAAACTATGTGCGCTGACCCTGCGCTTCGTCTTGCAAAATACATGCATGGACGCATTGGGTTCCGCCCCTCCTACGGGGGGGGCTCCACTTCCGGAAAATATAATCCAAACCAAATTTTAGTTTTAAATCAGAAATAGGTTTGGGTTAGATTATATCTTTCGGAAATGGAGCCCCCCCCCATAGGGGGACGGAACCCACTGCGTCCGCGCATACACTTTCCTATCCACACAACAATTGTGGGGTGGACCTTATCGAATAGAGAATTTCTAGAATCTCTATTGAAATTGTAAGAATTCTCCATCTGATTGCTAATCATCGATATGTTCGACAAACATTTTGTCGTATCAATATAATATCAGCATTACACGACGAAGGCACGCGCAGGCGCAGAGTCAGCGCACATGGTTTTGTATAATGGTGGTAGCCTAATAATTAACTACCAAATATTGTAATTAGACTACCAATTACCACCAAACATTTGTCTTTCAATTAAAATCAATTTGAATAAAATTGGTTGGTAAATAATATAGGGAGCGGTGCACTTGGACACAGTACAATTGGACACGGTGCAAATGGACACGTTGCACATGGACACGAAACTTTGCACACGGCTCAATTGGACACAGTGCATTTGGACACAATAATTTTGGACATAAAAGAAAATTCATTTGGACACCATTCAGTAGCACACCGGTCAGTTACATACCGTTCAGTTGCACATCGTTCAGTTGCACACATAAAAATGCACACCGTTCAGTTGGACACATAAAAATCCACACCGTTCAGTTGCACACCGCTCAGTTGTACACCGTTCAGTTGCACACCGTTCAGTTGCACACCGCTCAATTGCACACCGCTCACAAGGAGAGGTTGCAGCTGACTCTTCACCGATTTTGATCTCCTTTTTTGTGGTGAATCTTCTTTGAATATAGTTAAGCCCTGTAAGACCTTTCGTCCAATGCGCCTTGTAAGTAGTATTTTTTTATACTTGGAATTTGGAGAAATTTGGAGAAATTTTAATGTAGGTTGTAAGACATAAAGAAATACACTTTATCGAACAGTGCCGTTGGCGTAGGGAGTAAGCGCGAGTACACTAATAGCGAGAACCCAGGTTCGAAACCATTTACGCTGTTAACATTTTTCCTTTTTTTTTTTATTATTTGATATGTACATGTAATATGCATTATTTACTACATAGAAATAAATATTTGGTATAAATCTTATATATTTGCCTACATAAAATTACTGTAAAATAAATGAAATAGACAAGCAATGAAAGCCAGCCGTAGGTTGTCGGGCGCAAAGAAATTAATGTTAATTAGTATTAAACGACATGTGCAAGTGTTTTATTAGAGGGCTAAAATCAGAAATTGAACAACGAATTGCAAGAAATTTGAATGTACAAGCGACGGTAGCTGACGCTTTAAGGATAGAGAGAGAGCTTCGAGCAATAACAGATTTACGACAGAGAATAGATAGGATTTCAGGTAGACAGAAAACTAACAGCCAAAAGGAAATTTGTCAAATCTGTTATAAGGAAGAACACGTGGATAGCAACCGCAGGAAATATTTACAAACATCTCAGCAAGTTAACAACCAGACTGAATTAGAAACCGCAATTCTAGTTTGTCAAATTTATAAAAAACATGGGCATGGAGCAGAGAAATGCCGCTTCCGCGATCCACAACTTCGCCGACTAGTAAACGTAAATCATGGAAGAATAATAACTTGCCAATTATGCTTAAAATGTGGTCATGATGCAAAATCCTGCAGACAGAATAATACAATCAATAACAACAAAATCTCAGTAATTTGCCAATGGTGTGAAAAACCCGGCTATTCTGCAAATAATTGCTGGAAGAAACAAAATGAACAACGTTATACGGAAAATAAAATTCGTGTAACTTGTCAAATTTGCAACAATTTTGGACACATTGGTAAAGATTGTCGATCAAAAATAAACCAGCAAACGGGGTCAAATAATTCTTTATTCTGTCGCTATTGTAAGGAGCAAGGTCATCTTCTCGAGGATTGTCAATTACGCCATGCCAGTAATCTTCGAAAAAAAAAGAAATACTCAAGGAAACTACAACGACGTCGGGTGCACAACAGGGATCCAAACGAAAGCCGCACCCGTCCAAACCTCAGATAGCCAAGTAGACAAAGACAGAACAACCATAAGGCTCGTGACTGTAAACCTCGATAAACATAGTCGCGTGCCTACCGTTCAAATCAACATCGATAACTTAGCTACTCGTATAACTTTTATGCTAGACACGAAATCTGTACCTAATATAATTAAAGAAAATCTTGTTCCCGAAGAAATAAATATTAATTACACTAATATCCTCAAGTTGAATGGCATAAATAATTATCCTGTATACACCTTAAGTGAAATTACATTAACTCTTTTTGAAATACCGGTTATATTTCATATTGTATCTAACGATTTTCCAATTTCACAATCCGGCATATTAGGAAACGATTTCTTTAAACAAACTTCATCGAAATTAGATTATGCACAAGGGCACTTGGATGTCTTCGAAATCAAAATACCTTTCTTATCACCTGAAGACTAGCTATATAAGCCTTCTTATAACCTGAAAGCTATTTATAGTAGCTCCGCGATCCGAATCATTATTTTTTGTAAGAATAGAAAATCCAGAACTAAAAGTAGGATACATACCAAGATTAAAGATGGCACATGGAATTTATTTGGGAGACACCATCGTGGAGAACGTTTCTGGAAAGGCATATTTAAACGTTATAAGTATTTTAGATGAAGAGGCAGAAGTACATGTTCCGACTTTGCGCCTAAAACCATTGGGCGAATTATTAGACGACCATGATTCAAAAATCGAGGCTCTAAGCAACTCAAAGTAACCAATGAATAAGGAAGAAGAAACTGCTTACGAATTCGACGATTACGAAAATAACTTGAATATTGAAAATAAAGGTGAAAATAAAGATGAAGAAAATATTATTATCAAAGAAATCAATTATGAAGATGAAGAAAAAACCTTAAATCAAGAAGAAAATAAAAATGGGAATAAAATTAAAAATTAAGACAAGATGAAAAATAAAACTGAGAGGAAAATTAAAAAATCAAATGACCCAAAAATCCTTGGAGAGGGAAATTACCAAACCTTTTCTGAAAATCTAATAAATCCAACCATTCCTGGAGGGGGAAGTTACCAAACCTCTCCCAAGAATTTAATTAATTCAGGAACCCTCGAAGAGAGAAATTACCAAACCTTTCAAGAAGGGAATAATTCTAGGATTTCGGAAGGATATTTCTAAACCTCGTCAGAAAATCCTAGCTCCGTCGATTGCGAGGAGGGAAAGTACCAAACCTTACTACGTATTTCGACACAATCTCATTCCGAAAAGGGAAGAAGTCCTTTATCCTCCCTTGATATCAAATTTCCTAAGGTTGGATTATTTAAAGAAGAAAATGATAATGAATTAAAAACCTCTCATGTTACAATAATAGACAAAAACAAAAATAAACCGTCTTCAAAAGTCCTTACATCTTTATTGAACAAATCTCAAAAAATCTTAGAAAAATCTAAGCCAAAACGCAAAACAACATATAAAAGAAACCAACAAGTTGCAACCTGCAATTTGCATAATTGTCTAGTAATTTCCGAAGTGAAAAACAAGAATCGACTCGCCGAAATCGTAGAATCATTACGATTAGAACATTTAAACGAGGTAAAGAGAAAAAGCATAATAAAATTAATAACGGATAGTCAAGATCGATTTCACATTTGTTGTGCCTCTAGCCGCTAAGGAAGAGGTCTTTAGGGATTTATACCCCCAAAGGATTAGGATCCACGCTCGAAATAAGACACTCCCGAACGTTAGGTATAAATTGATATATTTCACAGATTCTTTCGTACACTTTCACTTAATCGCGATTATAATAGTCGGGCGCAATACGTACGGTACTTCGATACTATCGATATATGCGAGCGAGTAGTGAACGAGTAGCGAGCGATGTTAATGAGCTATATTACTGAGCTAGCTGCGGTGCATCTCGCGCTCCATATATATTAATTAATTAGGTCGTTGATTACCTGGAGAAAAATTAACTGCAACTCTTGTATTACAACATCGAATAGCGACCACAGATGACCAACCAATAAACAGTTGTCAGCATCGATTTCCGCAAATTCATAAAACAGAAATAAATTGACAAGTAGAAGAGCTTTTGGAAGGAGGAATTGTAAAACATTCACAATCACCGTATAATACGCCTATATAGATCGTGCCTAAGAAAGAAGATTCTAAAGGAAACAAACGATGGAGAATGGTATTAGACTTCCGCGCTTTAAATAACAAAACTATCAGAGATGCATATCCTCTACCAAATATCGTCGATATATTAGATTAATTAAGAGGAGTTCGATATTTTTTAGTATGCGATTTAGCATCTGGATTTCATCAAATAAAAATGAACCCCGAAAATGGTCAGAAAACAGCTTTTACTACTCCGTTCGGAGGCACGATTACGATAACTACGGCCCCCTATTTGAAAGATCGTTTCTGAAAGTATTTTTGAAGAGAAACACGAGAAAAATAGTAAAAAAATTTTCCGACCAATAGTTTTCGAGATATATCACTTTAAAGTATTGGACATGATAATAAAACGTTACAAAACGGACCCAATGACCTTGACCTTGACATATGTTGTGAAGATCACTGTCGCGAGTATCTTCCATGTGTAGCTTAGAATCGTATGTACTACCAATGTCTTGCGTTGTTTACGTTTTTTGAACATAAACACAAAATTCTCATTGCTCTTACTATTAGTAGATGCTTGTATTCAGTTTTCGAAAGTAATCAACATATTATAGACATTTTTTTGTTAAAATTTGTTTAATTTTTTATTTATTTTAATTTTTGTTTAATTTTTGTTTACATATAATTATATATAATTTTCATACACTATGTATGTTTTATAAAATATCTTCTTAGCACATTTATTTATTTATATCTAGAAAAATCGTACGCGTGGGCAGAAGAGAGGCGTCGCCCTTCTCCCTGCAACCCCACCCCGAGAAAAACTAACCTAACTCAACCCATCTCCCACCCACGTTATATAACCCAAACCAAATTTTTGTTTCGAATCTAACCCAATCCATCTCCCACCCATACAACAATTGTGGGGTGGACCTCGCTTCGCGTTGTAAAGTATATGCGTGGACGCAGTGGGTTCCGCCCCCCCCCCTGAAGATCACTGTAGCGAGTATCTTCCATGTGTAGCTTAGAATCGTATGTACTACCAATGTCTTGCGTTGTTTACGTTTTTTGAACATAAACACAAAATTCTCATTGCTCTTACTATTAGTAATTGTGGAGTGGACTTCGCTTCGCGTTGTAAAGTATATGCGTGGACGCAGTGGGTTCCGCCTCCCCTACGGGGGGGCTCCACTTCCGAAAGATATAACCTAACCCAAACCTATTTCTGATTTAAAACTAAAATTTGGTTTGGGTTACGTTATACAGGGTGTCCTAAAAATAACTGAGAAAAAAGGCGCTTCATTCATAGAGCACTTTTTTCACTTGTTATTTCGCCGTGCCTGAGCGCGCAAAATCTCAGCCCTGTCATTCGTAAAATATAATCGCTTCCCGTTTAAAAACTATTATAGCCTCGACATTTTTGTATTAGGATTTTCGTATCTTGACAACATATGTCAAGGTCAACATCGTTGGGTCCGTTTTTATAAAGTTTTATTATCATGTCCAATACTTTAAAGTGATATATCTCGAAAACTATTAACCGGAAATTTTTTTTACTAATTTTCCCGTGTTCCTCGTCAAAAATGTCTTCAGAAACGATCTTTCAAATAGGGAGCCGTAATTATCGTAATCACCCTCGTTCGGACATTACGAATGTGATCGAATGCCCTTTGGTCTGAAAAACGCTCTAGCTACCTTCCAACGTCTAATGGACTTAATATGAACTGGGTTACAAGGTAATTAATTATTTGTTTACATGGACGATATCGTTATCTATGCGACCTCGTTAGAAGAACACGAAAGAAAATGCAATGCTTTAATGGAATGTCGTGAAGCTAACTTAAAATTGCAGCCAGACAAATGCGAATTCTTAGAAACAAAAGTAGCTTATCTAGGACACGTAATCAGTAAAGACAGAGTAAAACCAGATATGAAAAAATTAGAAACAGTATAACGATTTCCAAGACCTAGAACACCTAAAAACATTAAACTATTTTTAGGACTTGCAGGATATTATAAACACTTTATACCGAATTTTTCCAAAGAACCCCGCACTAATCATATGGAAAATCTGTCCCGGTCAAATCAATTGGTTTTTACATATGTTGTGTTCTTTGCAAAACCATTAACGAATTTGTCAAAAAACGATAGCCGCTTCGAGTGGATATCTGTGCAGAAAGAATCCTTTGAAATTTTGAAACAAAAACTGCGAAGAACCAGTATTGCAATATCCTGATTTTTTCAAATCATTTATTTTAACGACCGATGCATCTGGAATAGCCATTGGAGGAATATTATCACAAGGAGAGATAAATAAAGACCAACCGATAGCATATGCCTCACGAACCTTACCAGATAACGAATTAAAATACAATACATATGAAAAAGAAGCACTAGCGATTGTATACTGTGTTAAACATTTCCGACCATACTTATATGGAAGAAAATTCACTTTAATTACAGATCATAAACCTTTGATGTGATTTAAAAACGCACAACATAGCACAAATAAGCAAATACTTCGTTGGAGACTAAAATTGGCGGAATATGATTATCAGGTTGTATACAAAGCAGGAAAGACCAACGTAAACGCAGATGCATTATCAAGAAATCCTGTAAACATGAAATAAGTAGATTGTAAAATTATGAAAAACAAGAAACTTTTAAACCCAGATAACTCTAAAGATGCACAATTAATTGCCGAATTATTAGAAAAATCCGATAGCGAAGAAGAAAAAGAAGACGACGATTTCCATTTATATCTTTCAGACATCGAAAAAATCAAAGAAATAATACCGGAAAGCAATTTATTAAATAACAATAACGATACTCTTCCATTTACACCTACAGAATTAAATGAACCAGATTATTTATCAATTACCGAAAAAGCTTTAATACATGATCATTCTAAACAAAATAGAATTCAAACAAGAAGACAAACAGCAAGACAAAATATTGAGCAAAATATAATAACTGACGAGCTGCATAACGACGAGGAAGAGATTGATGAAATCGAAGAAAGAAACGATTCGCCTGATAAAAATTGTGATAGTGAAAAGGAAGACGAAGAAGAAAACGAACAAGATATTAGTAGTGATATAAGGCCGGATCTCTAACGCTGATCCTCTGAGGGGCGGTGCGGGACGAGGGGAAACCATCGCGGGAGGTATGACGTCGCGCGGGGGAGATGTATGACGTCACGCGGGGAAACCGCGGCGCAGCCGATAGGCGAGGGGTCCGCGGGGAAGAGGGGAAAGGATAGCGCGACGCGTTCGCAATGTGTGACAGAGATAGCGCGAGGCGTTCGCATGCACGTGGGAGAAGGATGGCGTTCACATGCACGAGTAGGAAAAGGATAGCGTTTGCATGGGCGTGGGAAAAGGATGGCGTTCGTATGTACGTTGGAGAGAGATAGCGCGAGGCATGCATCAAGAGGAAAAGGAAAGAAGAAGGCGCAAAAATAATTTAGACACTTTTATGAATATTAATAAAAAATGTTTATTTAATATTTGTGTGTATCATATAAATGTACGTGCGTGCGTGCGTGCGTGTGTGTGTGTGTGTGTATAGCTCGATGCATTTATTCGAGTATTTCAATGCGGTTCTCGTCCATAACGAGGTGTCAGCTGCGTTTTATATTTTCCAATCCTCGAACATCACTTCACGATGATCTCTCAGACAATGGTCCAACAATAATGTACAAGATTTCTTCAAGCCGATTTCTCGGCCTTGTACCATTTGTACAATCGAATTAACAGGAATGTTTGTCGATAGCGCCGCACAGTGGATCGAAACATGGAAAGAGCGGACATCGCACTTTTAGAGACGAAATACAATAGCTAAAGCAAAATAAATATGCATACATAATCATGAAGTGTGTACCTTACCAATTTAAATAATTGTTTGCAATATTGTATTAAACAACAATTTTTAACAATAATTTGTATAAGCGCGTTGCTACCGCTGGCATTAGTATTAACCAATATACACCACGAGGAGATTGCACGGTCGGATTTTGCATATCTTGTCTGTGTGTGTGTGTGCGTGCGTGCGCGCGTGCGTGCGTGCGCGCGTGCGTGCGTGCGTGCGTGCGTGCGTGCGTGCGTGCGTGCGTGTGTGTGTGTGTGTGTCACAGCAGAGATAAGGACCCCATGATTTGTCGTAGCTGAAAGTTACGAAACGTGCGATCCTTATTTTTGTTGTGACACATACATAATATAAAAATAACATACATATAAAAATAAACATGAAAATATATAAAAACCGTACAGGAATGGGACTCCGCGATTCGTCACTTTCGCGGTATTTACTGACTCCAAACTCATCCTGGTGTACCTTAATGAAATAAAAAGAGAAAAAAGACAGAGTAAAAAAATTATTTTAGAAGTTCTCGAGTTTCGGAGAACAAATCTTGTTTTTTTCCTTCACTAAATTTTGGTCGTAAACTCGAGATGAAAGGATCAGATGTGATTAAAAAATGGTTAGGAAGATTTTCATTCGTAGCAGTCCTGTTAATTTTGCGCGTGTGATCTCTCCTATATTGCAATCTATGACTTAAAAATTATTAATTGCGACATACACACAATTTATGACTTAAGAAAACGTTAAAAAATTGCGAAATCAAACAGTGAAACTTCTCGTCATTATCACCAACGCATCTTTGCCCCATATTTTCCCCTTGAAATTCTTTTTTATTTCATAAATGGGCACCTACGGGCAGCTGAAACCAATGGATTCGTCAAATAGAATGTTTATTTAAATATGTAAAACCAACAGAACCTTGGCCACTGTTGGCCATTTTTTTATATGACAACTTGAATTTGCTTATAATATTCGATTCTTTGGATACAGAAGAATTGCCGCCATTTTTTTACACTAATGTTTATATGTTCCACATAAGCATTTTTCTTCATCAAGAAAGAATGTTATTAACATGTGAAAAATTGGTTTCCAAATATTTGGATATGGAAGAGCTGTACTGCCTTGAAGCTTTATGGATAAAATGACAGGAAAAGAAAACCATCTGAGTTATAAGGTTCAGAGCGATGTTTGACATGAATATTAAAGAGATTTTGCGGAAAATCGGTCATTTCTAGTTGTTCTGAACTATCTACAAACTAAATTTGTTAATTAACAATGAATATTAAAAAGTAATTTGTTTGGCCCATGTCCGCTCTTTCCATGTTTCGATCCACTGTGCGCCGGGACACAAACATCTACAGTTTGTAACATTTGCGTAACAAATGTAGTCCAGTAAAATAGTATCAAAAACATCGAATATCTACAAAACGGATAGACAAGCCAATTTTTTGAGGGTGAGTAGAAGGTCATAGGAGATGCTCTTAAACCCTCAAATCGCGCGATTCGGCTAACCAGCGATTGAATTCCATGCCCCTGTTGTAACATTTCGAGTCGATACTGTTTTTCCAACCACTCGAGACATTTAAGGCACTCGTTTTACCATAACTCGCATGAATTCGCATCGTCCATGTAAAACTCCCATAGAAATTGTTCTATTCGCGCAAAATGTTTGGAGTCCCCCATATTTCCCATTTAAGTCTTTTCACAACACAAGTTTTTGTCCAGCTTATACAGTGCAAATTGGGCACATATTGCAGGGCATTATCTGATACAGTAGTTTTCTACACTCTCTGCAAAACAATCCCAGGATTAGTTCATAAATTGCACTTTCATGTTCTTGCACAACACGAATATTCGAAAATAAGTCTGAAATTCGCATAAAACAGTATGTGCAACATTTTTCGTTGTCTTCACTTTTATAATAGAAGTATATACAGCACATTTTCACCGCATCTAAACTATTTATTTCAACTCGGTCTAAAGTACATTGATTTATGTCCATAATATCACTACTGCAGTCACTATCGTTATCGGAATCCTCCGAAAGTACGCGGCCTTCGTCTGATGAATCGTCCAAAAAATTTTCAATTTCCATCAAGTTGTCATCTTCAAGAATGACATCCTCGTCATCTTCAATAACCATAACTTCTTCATCAGCCATAACACATATTGTTAAGATCGTCGTAAGGACGGTTGCGTACTATAACGTTGCACACTCCTCTCGATTATATATATTTTAATTTCATATCTCTTGTCTCCTTCTAACTGGAGTATCCTGTCTCATCTACCTTATCATTTTTCTACATCTTTAGCAAAGTGTGTTGAGAGAAAGATTTAAGTTTTGCAGACTGTGTATATCTATTACACGGTTTTTATTCATACATAAAGGATGGGAGAAATAATTAAATTCACAGATAAATAATAAAATAACTTATTTATTACAAGCATCATGAAGAATATCATTTACATACATTAGCGATGTTATTACGTTGTAGAACAATTACAAATTGTTTGAATTTTTCATTTACAATATGAATATTTTCGCACAACCAGTAATGCATATGATCTATGCATTTTTCAAAATCAAATAAATATAATAGAGTTGGTGGTTTCATATATAAAGAATTATTGGATAATGCCAATTTTATAATATTCAAATCAGACATTTTAACCACTTCGAATGTCAAATCCCGAATCCGCAATGGGGTTTCTGTCGATTGTAGAAATCGTTCAATGTCTGCACGTTTCTGCATCAATGATTTCCACGTTTCAAAAGGCAATATCATTTGATTGTCTCGATTGTCTCTGAGAACCAATTCCACGCAAGATACAGCTCTAACGCTTATTCCAATATAGTCCAAATATTGCCTAGTCCAAATATTTTCAAGTATACGAACCGCACGACGAGGCTCGGATGAAATGCTAAGGAGTAATAAAATATTATTTATAAAAATATTTAAAAAGTATATAATTCTTTACGTTAATTAAAACTTACTTGTTACATCTCTTCTTCTTACACGGTGAAGTTTCATCATCTTGAATCGGAACGTAATAATTCATACGGCTTCCTTCAGTGGGATACATTTTGATATGAACCTTTAACACAAGTGGTCGATGCAATACTGAACGTATTAAACATATTTAAGATATGTATTAGCGTTGCAAAATTGCAATGTGGAGGGGATTATTGCTGACACAATATTTTTTTCAATTTTTCTATTCAAGCGCCGATGTACGGCTGCTTCGCGATGACATCACCCCCAGGTGGAGATTTAGCTGAATGCAAAAAAATGCAATTATAAATTTTTCAAGCGGCGACATGCAGCTGCTTCGCGATGATATCCGAAACGCGCGTGTCAAAATTGTGAAATATAAGAATAATTATCAAGGTTAAATTGTGCTAATATACAAGTAATTTAAAACTTTTGCGATGCATCAGGGTTGAGGTGACATCACCACCAGGTGTGAGATTTAGCCAAATGCACAAAAAAATGCATTGTAATATAAAATTTTCAACCGCTGATGTGCGGCTGCTTCGCGATGTCATCACCCCAGATATCAGAATCCAAACGCGCGTGTCAAAACATGACAAAAACATCATCTCTAGACGACAAAAATGCAATAATCGACAATAGTCCAAATGTACGTGGCAAACCGTGAAATAAAGATTTAGTTGAATGATACACATGATGGAAAGAGACATCAAGATAGAATATAAAATCATGGTAAAGAGGCACATCCTGTCAGTATTTTCGCCAGAGGTTCCGAGACAAGAGTTATTAATAAGCGCATCTTATTAGCAAAAAGTTTTGGCATAAATTTGGAAATATGGCGGAAAACAGTGCCGAACGAAATCTGCATGAGCAATCTGCAAGGGTGAATTCGATAGAAGAGTACGTTGCGTGGGAACAACGATGCGACGAATATATCGAATCATTAGAAGAACAAAGTCGAATCAAACGTCCACGATTATCGATCGGGATTCGACAATCGCTGATTGCACGAATCGCACGACTCGAGGGATTGAAGAACTCGTTACGCAGGCGTTTTGTACATGCGGGTGCAGGATGCAGCACGCAGCAACATGGATTGATTTAGCGGGAGATCGATACGGCGTTCGAGAGTCGCATATTGACTGGTGCGGTTATAAATCATAGTCACATCGAGCCTCGTCAATTTCTCGAGGATGCCAAAAACATTGTGCTCGAACACGTGCAAAACGTAATGACAAAGCACTTTATTGTAAAAGTGAATA